AATTTGTCTGTATATTTGGCAATTAATTAAAAAAAACGGGATAGGTGTGCAATTGAACAGTAAACAGTCTAGAAGCATCTGATTTTGTGGCCTACAAATAGCATTTATGCCTGTGTATAATTTTTGTTATCCTGAATTAAAAATGATTGACGTGTGTAAAATTTACCATCGGAAATCTGTTTAAGTGGAAGTAGGGTGTAGTCACCTTAAGTGTAAAGTTTTGTTTATGATTAATAGATGGTTGTCTGTGAATGCATTTGAGAAGGTGGATATTATTAAATATCTTATACTTACTATTAGTACATCACTTCAAAAAAATGAAAGGGTGAATACGAATGTCTGGCGCTTACAGCCAGACTGGTGGACCATGTAGGTCTACTTAGGGGAGCTGGGAAACCCTGATTTCAAACCAGTGGGTGTACACATGGGTTCCAGAATCTGAATAGATCCAATGGCGAATGAACTTGTTTTGATCACTGGGACCCATGGACACGTAGCTCCTAACACTGCTTCTCTGCCTTGCGGATCCAACTGCAAGTCGAAGGCACGGGAATGGCGCGTTACGACAACCACCTGCCACGGTCTGGGCGTTTGAGCAGTATGACTACCCTCGCACAAACTATAAGATTTTATGTGTCGCATCTCTTCGTGCTCATGATGTACTAATTTTGTGTTTTAATAATAATTATAATAATAAACCTTATCCATATATGAAAATAACAATATTGATTTTGATTTGTGGAAGAGCAAAGAGTAAACACTGCTGTGAGGTGTGAAGGTAGAATGAAACTGCTTTTAAATAATTATATCGACACAGATAATGACAGTGTTAATACTGAGAATCCCATATCGACGAAGAATCGCTTGAATTCAGCATTCATACATACATAAATATGCATCGAAGATCAATGATTTCCGCGCTCAGTGAATACAACTTTGGGTTCTCTCTGAAAAAGAGCATATGGTCACACTCTTACTGCACCTTATCATTTTGGTTTAGTAACCATTCATAAGTAACATATGGTTTGTCCGATGTATTAATAAAACCTCCTATTATTGGTAAAGCTAATCTGTCTTTTTATACTGCCTTTGGTTTCTGTGCATGAGTACATCAGTCAGTAGTCAAGTTTCCCACTTGGATACTTAGTGATGTAGGTTTTAATCTCCTAGAGAATCTTGATTTTCTTCAGCGTTTTCTTGTCGAAATAAGTTTAACTATAGGTGTTTTAAAATTTTGTGGTGTACCTATTCTGTCTTAACCGGGCGAATGATTCCATAAATTATTCAGTGCTTAACTTCCTTGAGATATTGAGAAAACATTTTCAAGTTCAAAAATGTGCTATTTAATTGATTACTATAAAGGTAGATTAATCTCACTCAAAATACCCTATATATTTGTATTGGGCAATTGAAAATAATGAACTCTATGTAAAGGGAACAATCAATAGCTCATCTCTAGAGTTTACTATTACTTCTGGTCGTGCAGCATCAGCAGAGAATTCATACGAAGTCATAATATTACGTAAGATCGAATCGGTCGAAAAGATTTCGCTTACTTCTTCATGCAGCCATAGGTCTTACCATTCATAAGGATAAACCTGAAATTTGTTTCCAGAAGCGTTTTATCCAGCGTCTTTAACTACCGCGACCTTATTGTCGACTTTATTTTTTTTTATCGGTTGTATAACAAACTCGTATATTTTTTGACTCACTTTTATTTGTTTCTGCTCTTGTTTCCTATCAATTTTCTCTAAATAACTACTCATCTCGTAACTAATTAGTTGTAAACTCTTTCGATTGCGTAATGTCACTCATTACTTTTCACTGGTTGCTACTTGTCCTACGCATTAATTCATCTTTGTTATAAACTGATCATAACCTCTGACCTATGTTGGCAATTAACATGGTACATACAAAACCCTAAAAGGAGATCTCTTTACTGGCTTATGTGTACTGTTAAATAATAAGTTCAGATACTTGCCTCTATTTTCTTTTCATTAACACCGAAATTTTTTGGGGGGGGGGGCGTTTTACAGTATCACGTAACATATAGTCTAAACTAATTGATCTTCACATCCTTAGCTAAAGTCTAACTAGTCTTCAGTGTTTTCATGAAGAGAACAATATTCCAAATTATTTTTCTTCTTTTTGACGAAGTCATCAACTAGGCTGTACATTCGTGTTTTTATAGTAATTGGGTGAGAAAGTTCCAGAACTATTCCCGGTCAAAGGTCAAATTAATAAAATTACAAAGTGTAATAAACACGAAGATCGGATACAGAATATAGTAAGGTTGTAGTATTATCCTAAAAATATTTCAGGTCAAAGGTCATATTAGTAAAATTACATAATAAAAGTTCGGATATGAAAATATGGCAGTGTAAATGGGGATTAAGAGAAACTTAAACATAACATGAATAAACAGGAAGTTTTGATAAGAAAGGTGATTGACGGAGAATTGCGTAATCTCTGAGGTACCTTGATGAAAAACGGTTTTTCGCCTAGATTCATAGACAAGAATCAGAAATCAAAGAAGACTTCCGAACAAGTCCAATTCGTCCCGAAGAAGATGCTTCTGCTTAATCTAGAATTCAAAGGTGACACTGAAGCAGAAATCCTTCGTAAACGCCTCAGCAAATCTCTGAAGGAAAACGTACTTCGCCGCAAGCCTACCACTGACGTTTTCCTACAAGAAACTGTTCAACCAGAACGCGAAAGACAAGCTGTCGCATTGGGCCACTTCAGCGTGCATATACCAGTTTACTTGCTCGTGCGGAGCTGAGTACATCGGCCATACCATGTGCCAACTTGCAAAACGCGCTCGTGAACACTATCCAGCCTGGCTAGTAAAAGGAGAACGAAAGTGTGTATATAGTTCAGTGACAGAACATCTGGTCAACTCAGGACATTCAGCGCCTTTCGAAAAATCCTTTTAAATCATATACAAGATTCGATCAAACCTATCAAAGGGAGTAAAATCAAGACATCTGGGCATAGCCGAGGCACTAGCCATCCAAAAACTCAAACCCACGCTATGTATCCAAAAGAAATACGTCCAACCCTTATCCCTGTCCTGGCTATCATAAACAATTAATTCTCTTAATAGTGGCTATCTCATTACCTGTCTTATCCAAAATTCCTGTTTATTCGTGTTATTTTATTCGAAACGTCATCCAGTATATAATCCTGTTTCACTGTGCGATACATCTAATAAAAAAACTAATATGGAATTTTCAAGTATTGGTTTGGTAGGGATTTTGTTTAATTGCATGGAGGATTTCATCATGAGCTGACATCAGTTAGAGAACCACTGGAAAACCTGGGAGTACTGGACAGCTGTTTCGTCCTAGTTTGGGCCTCTTCATCAGTACGCGCCCACCGGGATTCGAACCCAGGACCTTCTGGTTACAAGGCGAGCTCGTAGACCATTGAGCCACTGGGACCTGATCCAATGGTCCTTGAATTCTAACTTCTGCCAATTCACGACATAGCGCGGCCATTTCGCAATGTCTTATTAGATGAGTTACTGCCTCATCTTCAACCTGCTGTAATATGGAATTACTTACTACCACAGTGCCCAAGTTTTACACATATAATAACATTTTAATTCCTATTTGTAATTTTATTTATTTGACCCTTGATCGGAAGTTATTTTGGAACTTTCTCACCCATTTATTATGTAATTTAACTAATTTAACCCTTGACCTGAAATATTTCGAGGATAATACTGTATTCTGTATAATACTATATTCTTTATCCGATCTTCGTGTTTATTACACTTTGTAAATTTTTTCTATTGTGTCCTTTTTTGCTATGTTTGACAGACTGAATGTAGACATGCCAACAATAATATTTGTATATAATTGCTATTGTGCAGCTAAGTGAATGAATTCGCTGAAAAGAACCTCTTCACTGAATTTATGTTTTTAATCCCATGTGTAGATGAGTACTTTTCGTGCATGTGTCAGTTATTTGCCTAACTGTTTATGTAATGGCTTCCGAAGAGGATTTACCTTACAGTTTTAGGTGAATGGCACACCACTGCTATTTGTTAAATTATTCCGTCTTCTACACACTTTCGTTTAATATCATTTCACTCCATTTCTGTATTCTTCCCTTGTATGTCCTTTTTCGAAATGTACCAACTTAAATTTCTTCAATTCTGTGTGTAGTGCTACCTTGCTTCATCAGTTAGCTAGAATTAGTTGCTATGGTCATTTTTGCTTACTGCTTACGTCCCCTATGATAAATATTTTTTCATGACTGTGATATAACTGCATCCAATTCAATTAGGTATACAACTATCAGGTAGTGGGTCAGGGTTTAGAATTCCACTCCATCTATCGAGGTTTCGGCACCCAGATGCCACCGGCAGTCGTCACTCAATGGGTATGGTTCATCGAAAACTGCATTAATATGTATCTAGTTCCTGAGTAACCTACTAAAGCTGTAGGCTTAGACTCTCATCCTTCAATCAGATAGTGATAGGCTGAAATCTTTACCTACTTAGGTTTAAATAAGTATTACGTCGGTGGTTTAGTGGTAGCATGCTCACCAACCACGATGGGGTTCGAGCTTCGACCCGCAGCTGACACACTCCTGTAGTAAGCTTGCTAAATAGGAAAGGTTGGGTGTGAGGCTAGCAATCCCACCCCGTAAAAAAAGACGAAAATAGGTACCACGGCTACTGAAACTGCGCAGCTCAAGCCGTGTGTTTCACTTGGAAAGCACAGGAATGAAAACAAAACTAAGCAGTTCTGCTTGCCCTCTCATAATCCCCAAAAATGTATAGATATTCCGTCTGCATCTGTGAACTGTCACTGAATGGGATTATTTTATTCATATATTTATTTTATCTATAAAATGTAACAAAATTGTTTCATTCACAGCATAATATTTCAATGAATGTTCTGATACCACAATAAAAATAAAATGCCCAATTCCATTTCTCCTAATTTATGCAAATCTGTTTTTGTTTTCTTCTTAATTCACTATTTCAGTCATTTGAATCAATTGTTACAAAAGCTGTTGGACTGCCTACATCACTTGCTTGTGCACTAAGTTATTACCTTCCTAAAGATTACAAGGACTTGTTAACTGAAAGCAAATTAGATAAAGGTTAGTAATTAGTTATAATTATAATTAATATAAATATTAATTATGATTAGATTTTGTGTTAGTTTTTTTTATAATTCACTTAAATTATCATTATTTTTCTTTATGTGATATTTTATTATCACCATTCATGTGACTGTGATTTCATTTCACCTGTAACGTTGGTCTCGTGACTGTCAATCGTTTGTATATGTCTTTCTGCATGCGTGCGTGCGTACGCGCGCGTGTGTGTATAGGATCATCGTACATACCTGTCGTGTAATCTGTGTGGCTCGCAAATGACGTTAGCAGCTCTAATAACTATTTGCTTTTCCGTAAAAAATAGTCTCGCCTTAGTTTATTTGGTATGTCGTTCATTAGAAGAGTTGGTATGTGCTTCGTGACGTCTCATTTAATTGTATTGAACAATTGTATGACGCATATATATATATATACATATATATATATATATATATATATATATATATATATACGAAGCAGTAGTATTATTTATAGTAGTATAGCCAAGTTTGCTTAATACGTAAAATCAAAGTTATTGATTAGAGGCGATAACTTCCTATTCTCTCTCTCTCTCTCTTTGAGAGTTTATTTTCATGCCTAAACGGTTAAATGCTTTTCACTGAGATGTTGACAGTAACTAACTGTAAACAGTGAAATAGATAAAGACCATAAATATTGCAGGAATAATCAAAAAAGATTGAATACTTCTTTACCCAGAATCTATCCTGCAGACAGGTTGGTTTGGCGCAATCAAAAGTCGATAGATATATCCTTCCTATATTAACTCTAATTGTGCATACAAGTGTACAAGTATTTGCAGTAGAAGTTACAGTGAGATAACAGAAAGAAGGGCATATCTTAAATTCTTTGAATATGTACCAAAATGCTTACGTCTCAAGGGAATAGTGCTATTGCTAGACATCTTGTTAATACGGCTCATAGTGGTAGACACTGTGAAATCCTTCAAGACTGTTAATAGACAGTATACCTAAACTCTCCTGAAATTTGCCGAATCAATCACTATCAAACGTTTAAAACCTGATTTTTTGTGTTCAGATAGATTCATTTATTAGTCGTTTTTCCTCGCCCTGGTAACTCGGCATCCAATCTCTTCTTCTCATTTGATTACGTGTCTTTTTCTTTAACGCTCCTCCATTTTTGCTCTGATGTCAATCAGTTTGTTTGTGTGATTTGAGTTGAACTCACCATGTTACTATGCCATGGGATAGTTGCTTATCGTCAACTTTCCACCTCTTGTCTTGTTTATGCAACTCAATTTTCAATGTATCCAACCACTAATCTTGTGTTTTCTTTGAACTTTGACCTCTTTGCATAAGTTATATAAGTGGAACTTCTGAGCATTGTTTACTAATTTTTATGATGTTATAGGTCAATTGTGACATAATGGTCATCGGTATTTCGACCAACAAGTACAGCGCCTCAGTCAGTATAATGTCCTCATTCATTAATTTTTTGATATTTTCTCAATGCAGACTGCTAGTATTCATTGGGAAAAACAAACAGATAAATTACTCTTGGTAGTAGTACATGGGTGTCCTGTTTATTTTTCTCCTCTCTTAAATTACGCACTAAGATTACTGTCTCGTATCCTTTTTAATCTTCATTTTTCTTTTGTGTTAAGTGGAATAATAAGGTGAGCAATATCGAGGTTGGGCGTCCAGTGCTAGGTAAGGAAGGGAAATCAATCGAAGAGGCTGTGAAGCTACATCGACTGAGATGGTTAGGACATGTGTTACGCATGCCTAGCCATCGCGTTCCTCGACTGACGGGCAATGTTAGGTGACATGGGATCAGGTTGGATAAGAGCTAGCGGACAAACCAAAACATGGCATCAGTCAATGAAACTCACAACAGTTAGCTTAAGCCTGCCATAGAGGGAGGTGCAGACCTCCTTGTTGGGGTTCTCAGGACGGTAAAAACCAGTGGCTGGAGACAATTGGTCATGCGGCTGAAAATCGTTCCCAATGGTGCAGATGCATCCACCCCTGGTGACTTATAATTTCCAATAAGACTATATGGTTCCTCCATATATTACTATTCTTTCCGCCTCAAATTTCTGTTCACTATCTCTCTTTTGAATCTCTCTGTACTCTTTTCTCTTTTTTTGTGTGCTACAATGAAGGAGTGTGGCAAATGGAACTCCTGCACATGTGTGCAAAGTTCTATGTTGAAACCAGCCAGTCAGTCAGTTTTCTTTTGTTCCACTTTATTTTAAGTGTGATGTTCATTAGTGGAAGAAAATGATGTGGGTATAAGTTTTGGGGAGTCGAAGAATGTATTTGCTATAAGACTTAATTGTAATAGTTTTTGGGAAAGCTAACTTTTCTGATGCCCTAGCTGAATAGCATCCACCTGTCTGTCTGTCTGTATTCGACATCGAACTTTGCACACATGTGCGGCAGTTCAAGTCGCCACACTCCATGTAGCACACAAAGCAAGAGAAGAAAGTAGAAGAAATGCATAATAGAAACAGTAAACAGAGGTGAGAGACAAAGGAATAGTAATAACGCAGAACAAAACAGTTTAATTGGAAATCATAAGTCACAAGGAGTGGATGCATCTGCGCTAGCCATTGAGAACGATTTTGAGCCATATCACCAATTGTTCCCAACCATTGGATTTTACCGTTCCGAGGACCCCAACCAGGAAGCCAGTCTACACTTCCCAACGTGACTGGCTGGCTTAGACTAACTGTTGTGGATTTCATTGACTGGTGAGGCCATGTTTTGGTTTGACCGCCGCTAGCTCTTTTCCAGCCTGACCCTATATCAGCTAACATTGCCCGTCGAGGAAGGCGATGACTAGGCATACATAACACATGTCCTAACCATCTCAGTCGATGTAATTTCACAGTTTCGTCGATTGATTTCCCCGCCTTACCTAGAACTCGACGCCTAACCTCCAAATTACTCACTTTATTGTACCACTTCACGCGGGAGACAGAACGCAGACGCGTTTGATCAAAGACAGCTAATCTTTTCATGTCTTCCACTCTCAATGGCCAAGTCTCACAGCCATAAAGGAGGATGGAGCGGACTGCTGAGCATTACACCCGCCTTTGGTCGATAGCCGTTAAAGTTTATTCACAGTCTCTAATTCTTACCGGTAAAGTAATTCAGTGTACTTGAATTCGTGTATCCTAATTTTATTGGCACTGTTTGAAACTGTTTTCATTTGGTGATTGAGACGAAAACAGTGAGTGGTACTTACCGAAGATTGGTAATTTCTATGTTACTTTCCTGTGTATCTTCCATTTGTCAACAGTCATCTTTGATCAGTGAATAACAGCTTGGAGTCACATAACAACTAATAGCGTCGTCCTCAGAGAAAATATTGTTCAATGTGAGATTCGTGCGTTATATCATAACACATGGTAGAATATATGAACCATTTCACATGTTTCGAAAGTCACACTAACGGTTCAGATCTAGTTACTAATGAAATTATTATAGTGGTGCTTCTACTTTGCTAACCAGATGACCAATTAACTTTTAAGAGAGGGTGAACTTAACGCCCTTGTATGACTTGTAATGCTTAATCATTCTGTTTGTGTTATGGCAGTAACAAGAAACAATCAGAATTTTCTGTAGTGCAAATAATTGATTTGCGTCAACTGTCAGTTTTGATAAAACTAAAGCATAAACATGGTTCGAAAGATGAAGTTGGTACTTTTCATTTTCATGTATTCTCTTGAAGCGACTGAACAGAATTGCCTTTGTGTATAGTTCGTTAAATGTTGTTCATTGCTATTTCTGTCAACTTTCGACTAGTACATCTGATCATCAGACGTCACATGAAGCCTCATAAATAATCTTTTGTGAAGCAGGTCAAACAAAGGTCCCAAAGTATCTAGTTTTACGAAATATCTTTTTGACCAGTGTCATCAGTGAGCGTTTATCCTCACACCCAACTGTACGCATCGCCCTGGTAGCTACTGTGACTAAAAGTTGCGCTACATATCACAGATTGGCAGAAGTTAAAGCCATTGAATTCAACCTTAGCGGCTGAATTGTCGACCATTTTGACTTGTTATCCGAAAGTCCTAAATTCGGTCTTCAGTCGTGTCATTGCTGCGTAACGCGCTGAAGGGGCCCAAATTATGAAGAAACAACTGTCCAGTGCTCTTTGGTTTTCAGTGGTTCTCTAAGTGAAGCCAGTTCGTAATTAAACTTGAAACATAGTGTTCACTGTAGTACTTTCGCCTACTTTTATTAGAAAGATAGTATCCGTGTAAAATCCACTTAGTTTCAAATGTTCTAAGGGTGATATCACCGCGGTAAGGTTCTTTTCATTTATCGTTTATAACACTGGGATGTCAAAGCAGATAACACTGGCTTGATACAGTGAATATCAGAAGTAAGCATTCCTGACTAAAGAGACGAAGATCGAGTGTATATATGGTATGTGATTGGGTAGCTACTCACTTATGTACTTCCATGTGGAAATGCACAGAAGGTGGTGACTGAATTAAGGCTGAAGGTACTACGAATGTAAACTGAAGATTGGAAAGCGAATATCATTCAAAACATCAAACAATTTAAGCCGAAAATATTAACAAACACATTCCTTTTCGCTCTAACAAATAATGAATTTTTTTAATTTCATTGTACTACCATTATTTATTTAATTTGATCTGAGTAACCTTCATGGTTACATGACTTGGGGCACCAGTGATTTCTTTCATTCCTTTGCATTCCTGGTGCAACATATAGCTCCAAGCTTTGAAAATTCAATACCAGTAAGGTTATTGTTTATATGATGCAGAATTGGTTTCTCCTCTTTTCTCTTGGCTCACTATCAGCTGGAAAAGGTTTAGGAGTGTGTCGGTCAGGAATCAAACTCCAGGTGTATGCAAGTTTGGCACTCATAACTAATTACTAAAAATTTACACAGTTTTAATGTCTGATTATATGTCTAAACGAATGTACCACAAACAGTTTTTGGATTTATACCTTAGTAATTAGCCTCTCTGGTGAGTGACA